GTCTCGAGTGGTCAGGAGGAGTGAGCAAGGGGGAGAGCTCTCTTGTACTATTTTAAAAAATTATCCATAATTTGGAAATAGGCAGGAGGAGGTCTGCATAGCTTTTCAATGTCATTTTGGAGCAGAGTTGAACAGCTAAGCTATTTAATTCTCCAGGGGAATATACCTTTGTTTCACTATTTACTACTGATTAGGGTCCTGACTCTGCCATGTTACATGTTAACTTACACATCTGCATGTACAAATAGGTATGTACATGTATGTGAAGATGCAAAGCATTTTAGTCCAGTGGAGAACCAAAAAAGTTATGGTTTTATTGTCCCATAAAACATTAACCAGCTTCATCTCTACCTTAGCAAACTTATTTCAGAATAGCTTTTCCAACTAAACATACAAATCTCTCCCTAAATCTCCTTTGAACCAGCTTTACCATTCTTCTGGTTCCCCTATTGAGTTAAATAAATCTTTTGACATATGATTAAAAAAATTATACTTTGACAGAACCAAAAAGTGAGGGGCTTTGCTAGTTACTCGGCCTCTAAGCCTCACATAATCATTTGCCACGGAGAAAAGCTTCCCACCTCCCAGGACTGAAGCAGGGCTGGCACAGGAAGCTGGATGCCAGAGTACTTTGCATGTCGTTCACAGGATGCAAAAGTCAGGATGGACGGCTGTGACTCATCAGATTAGGCTATGCCAGGGCTAGAAGGTCCTGGGCTTCTGAGGACAGCCTTCTCCAGGGCTTGGGACAATCAGGGAAAAAGAAAGCTGGGGGCAGCCTGACCCTAGGCTCCATGCCCACCAGGTGCCATGCTGATGCTGCAGTCCCCACTTGTGATGAGGCCAGGATTTCCTGTGGGTACTGGAGGACCACTCAGAGCAGTCTGCCCAGGGGCATGGAGAAGCTGGAAGACTGGGTGTGCATCTGACTGGAAACAGCACAAGAGTCCTCATCTAACACCAGGTCCCTAACTAGTGGCTTCTAGAGCCTGGATTCTTTCAGGACCTCATCATTTTATTCAGTAGATGAGAAAGGGCCCCCCCTCAACCCACACATTTAACATCACAATGCAATCTCTGCCCTTGCTATCTGCATATGTGCAAGACTGCGTGCACTTGCGTGCACACACACACACAGAATGATGTCAGTCAGGGGTCCAGTGAGCAATGCCAAGGTCAGGAACCACTAACTCTACACAGAGGAAATGGGTACAGAGCCAAAGAGAGAAAGGAAGAGGAATGGCATGCCAGGCCCAGGGAATGGCAGGCGCAGAGGCTGGGAGGAGAGAATAACCTGCAGAATGTGGGTCAGGAAGATGGGGCAGTTGGCCCTGCTAAGGTGGGCTCATACCTGAAGTCATGGAAGTTAGTAGCCCACTGTTCCTGGGGTGACAGCAACAAAGAGAGGGGGCAAGGGGCTTACAACTAGGTTCTCCTCTGGGGGTCTACATCCTGTAAGGGGGTGTGAGCAGCCTTTTCCCTCTCAGAGGCCTCACTCCAGGTTCAGCTCAGCTATTGTCTCTACAAGTGGACCTAGCGTCCCCTCCTCCCTCCATACCTCCATCGAAGCTTCTCTGCCTTAACGGCTGGGCTCAAGGAGCCTCTTCCTACCTGCCCCAGACTTCCCTCATCTCTCTCTCTCTTCTGAGCTCTCACCATCTCTGCTGTCTAAACCTCCCCTTTCAGCAGCTAATTATGCCACCTGTCTTCTTCATACAGTTTGTATCCTGTCATCCTTCCTGGAATTACATGTTTTTCCTTCCCCCTACCCCCTCACCAATTCCCTTTGCCCTGATTTCTTCAGTACTTTGTTTTATTATATTGTGGGATTTTTTGTTGTTCTGTATGTTGCCTTCATACCTCTGTGGATTAAGACAAGTGTGTGTAAATCTTCTATTGTCCTGGGCTAAATTCTAAGCCTTGTGGACCCCTGTCCAGCAACTACACTAGGCTTAGCACTGTGTTGGGCATATGATAGGTGCCTGTTGATTGGCAGTTTGATTAACATCACTTAACCAACTCCTAGTCATGCTCAATTACTGGCCCATTCACACACAAGCCTAGATTACTGAAATCCTACCTCCCCACCCCTTCCACTGACATTATGACCCACCAGCTCTCTGCAGAGCCCAAGTAATTTGAGGGCTCAGGCCCCAGTATCGTCGTTGCTCTGAGCTTCTCCGACATGTTCACACCACCAGAGGAACAAGACCCAGCCAGACAGCTAAACCATGGAGAGCGAAGTTCCCAGCAGCTCCCAAGGCCAGCTTCACAGATTCAGCCACGGCTCAGGGAAGTCTCTTGGTACTCCTCCAAACTGTGACCCTGGGCTTCTAGGGCTCACAGTTCTGGGGTTGTCGAGGCCACAGGCCCTGGGGCGCCAGAAGGCAGCCTCAGGAGAAAGGTCTGCAAGGAGCCCGGCCGCGGGAAGCCGGCCTTCTCCCTGAGCAGCCTCCAGGTGCCGCCCTCGATGGCATAGAGCATCGTGAACATGCGGTTGACGGTGTAGACTGTGTCGCCGCGCACCACGGCCGTGAAGAGCGCTCCCTTGCTGTTGACGAACTGGCCAGGAAGCGCCGTCCACTGGCCCGTGGCCAGGTTGAGGCAGTCGATGGCGCAGTGTAGGAAGTCGTCGGAAGGGCCGTTGCGCACCACATAGAGACTGTCGCGGTGGGCCACCATGCAGTGGCCGTAGCTCTGTGGACGCCGCAGTTCGGCCACGGATAGCCAGGTATCTGCCCGCACTGTGTACTCCACCACGGCCGTGGTGGCAGCCGGCCGCCACAGACACACGAAGAGGCGGCCACACGCCTGCGCACAGGGCGGGCCTGCAGCCGGCTGCGGCAAGTCGGCCACAAAGCTCCAGCATTCCGCCACCGGGTCATAGCGCTCCACGGAGCTCATGGGCATCCTCTGGAATTCGCCGCCGATCGCGTAGAGGCGGCCATCAAAGCCGGCCAGCGCCGTGTCGTAGCGCGGCTGATGTGGGCTGGGAAATTCGCGCCAGGTGCCGCCGTCGGGATCGTAGCAGAAGCCCAGCTCCACCACCTCCTTGCTGGCGCCCCGCACGCCCCCCACGATGTAGAGCTTGTTGCCCAGCGTGGCTACGCCTGCCAGCAGCGTGCTGGCCTCCAGGGGCAGAGTGGCTAGCGTGCGCCACGCGTCCTCCTCCTCGTCCAGGTAGCACACTGTGCGCGACGCGTCCTCCAGGAAGCCAGGTGCGGGCGTGTGCGTGCTCACGGCCACGTAGCTGCTGGGCTGTAGCGCCGCCACGTAGGCGCGGGCCTCGGGCAGAGCCAGCTCAGCCGCCAGCTCGCGCGCGCCGTCGCGGATGAAGAGCGCGGCGTTGTGGAACACGCCTTGCAGGCCGAAGGCGGCGGCCGCGTCGCACAGTATCGCGCAGTTGTCTGATGTGAGGCTGTGCTCCAGGTAGCGCGCCAGCGCCGGCGCCTGCAGGAAGGCAGCGCACTCCACCGCCTGCAGCAGCTCGTCGGCCTCCGCCAGCACGGGCCGCTCGCCGCGCAGCACCTGCAACGTGGTGCGGAAGCCGTCGGCGCTCAGCGTGCCCAGGCGCACCTCGGCCTCGCGCGCCTCCCGCATGCCCGAGCGGAAGAGGCCGCGGAAGAAGCCGCAGTGCTCCACTAGCAGGTCCTGCTCTGCCTGGAAGAGCTGGCCGCCCACCCACACCTGCACCGTGGCCTCCGGGCCCCGCGGCATGGCTAGAGGGAGGGGCGGGGGCCGCCGCTTGGGGACTGGATTCAGAGGCCACTGACTCCCGGGCTCCCCCGTAGCGGACAGAACTTCCCTCGGGGATATAAATATCTCCCTGGCTAAAGATAGTACCGCTCATGTCATGTGGCAGGCAGGCTGGATGGCCACGGGCCCGGAGGGCATCCAGAGACCTGCAGGGTCACTCACTTCCTTATAAGAAATAGTAATAGTGACCATATACCGAGCACCAGTTGCTTGTAGGGCACTGTGAGGGCTGCCTACTAAGATACCCCATTTAACTGGCATTAAAGCAACCATATGTCTTTGAGTAAGTACCTTTACCGTGACCCTCTGTTTCCTCAAAATGGAGCCAATAATAACACATATTTCATGGTGGTGGAACAATTAGCATAAAGTGTTTGGAATGAGGCTGAATTTACATGATTCGTCCAAAGTCATTTGGCTGGGAAGAAGCAGGGACAAGATTAATACATAGATCGCCACCACATCCAGTGGGCACTAGAGACCCGGAGGTAGAGCAAATAGAGTGGGCCAGGCTGGGAGCCAGAGCAGGTTCTAATTTGGCCTTTTCCTCTGCCCCTGACTCTGGGCTAGCCCAATCTCTTTTTGAGCCTTGGTTTTCTTCTCTGCAAAAATGGGAAGGTAGCAGGTGAGTGTTCAGTTAGCCCCTGAATGGAACACTTCCCATGGGAACGGGAAGCTTATGTTGTTCCCCACCTGCTACTCCCTACTCCGGCATTGCTGTGTGTACATCCAGACCTTGGGAAAAGGAAAATGGGGCTGATGAGGGGATCGTTTGTCTGTGGGTGGGAAAGAGAAAGGCTTCTTGGAATAATAGCTAACACTTAAATTGTACTATGTGTTAGGCATTTTTGTAAGCACTTAAACTCCTATCCTTGCAATAACACTAGGAGTAAATACTATTATTTCCCCTCATTTATTAGATACTATCCATTTATTGCTTATAGCAACACTATAAGATATGATTAATTTCATAGATGGGGAGACTGAGGCACCAAGAGGTTTAGTTACATGCCCAAGGTCACATGACCAGAGAGTGGCAAAGCAGGGACTGGTAATGCAGCCAGCCTAACTCTAGGGTATGTGCCCCTGACCTCTGTGCTCTGCTGCCTCTCTGTGTACAAATTCTGGGCAGCAGCTCATGCCAGGAGGTCACAGTTGGAAGCAACTTTAGGCTGACATGTCAACCCCCTCATTTACAGTGGAGGATCAGAAAGAGGATTGCCCGGGGTCCTGTAGCTTGGGACAGACAGCCCCAGGCCTGCTGCCCACCTGGGGCACTTTTTCCATTGCAAATAACTTTCCTAGGTAACCAGCTAAGAGTCTGGTTTCCAAAATGTCAGGTGGAAGGGAGCTTGGTTATCTTCTGCTACTGCCTCATACAGGTGGGGAAACTGAGGCACAGATGTGTGTAGGATGCTAACTGCTATTCAGGAGATGTTTGTAAGCTTTTTTCAAGAGAATGGAATGGCTCATAATGACAAAGTCAGAGTTGGAAAGCGAGTGGGGAGACTTCTCTTCCCACTAAGACACACACATGAACAGATCCCCATGTATGAATCTGCAGACCCAACATGAGTTCCTGCCAAGGAACTCTCACCTAGTTTACTCCATCAAAGCAGGGCTGGGATGTGGGGAATGACTTGTGTGAGCCTGGGAAGTCAGCGGCCTGGAGGAGGCAGCCAGAAATATCCTGGACCCTCTGCCCCAGGGACCGGACAGGAAGAGGAGGAGGAGATAGAGGGAGTAGCCAGGAGTCCCCATGAATACTATCCCAGGCCCTCTGCCAGCTTCTCTCCTTTCCTGAGGCCAGATACAATCCACCTCCTGGAGGAAAGTGGGCTCTCCTGATTCTGTCCTTGCTGGTGGGTAGGGAAAGGGTATCCAAGTGTTCCCATTTCACAGATGAGGAAAAGGAGACCTAGAGATGGGATGGGCTTTTCCTTGGTTATGAAGGAAAATATGGGACTGGATTGAACCCTTTCCTCTGACCCCAGGCCTCTCCTCACCTACACTAGCCTTATCTTATGGGAGGGAAACAGCTGCCAGCCACTCAAGCTAAGGGGAGGGTTGGGGAGGCGCTCACTCTCAGGGGGCTACAGTTCCCTCACAAATGGCCTGTCTCAGGCACTTAGTAACTGGCAGACACAACAGACAGAACCACTGTCTAGACTTCTGAGAGGAAGAGTGGGAAGGAATGCAAACACCTCCTGGCTGAAGCATGCTTTCAGTCCCAGTTTTTCACAAGTCCAGACCTGGCTTGAGTGGGTTGGGACACTGGTGCACACACCCAGCTCCCACACTCAACAGCCAGGCAATGGGGTGAGGGTCACCCAAGGTGGGGGTTCTTGGTTCTGAGACTGGGCTGAGGATCAGCCCTTTGGCCCCTCCCCCAAGGCCCCAGTGGGGTGTTGTCTGTAGCTGGTGAGACTTTCCTCCACCCTGACAGTGAGTGTCCCTCTGGGACTTAGAGAGGACAAGGAGCTATCCTAGCTGTGGGCAGCCCACGGAGTTCCCAGGCCCTGCCCGGCCCCACACCATCCTCCTCCTCCACTTTGCACTCCCCACTCTGTGAGGCTGGGGATGGGGGTAAGGAAAGGGACTGTCAGACTCTGAGCCTTTGTAGAGAGCATGCCCAGCCCTGTTCATCTGTCTATCCGCAATGATTGACACACAATAAGGGGTCTGTTAAGTGGACTTCTGGGCCCTAACCTAATAGAAGTCCCCAGTCTGATGGAGGAGACACAAACCCTGTCCCAGGAGAGCCTGCAGTCCAACAGAGGAGACACAACCCTTGCCCTGGGAGACCCTTCCCCAGCCTGATGGGAGACCTTTGGCTTTTGCCACCCATGGCAGTATCTCTGCACCCAGGGTAGTGAGGAACTTGCCTGGACCTGAAGGAGAGCCCTGGACTGGGATTGCTGCTGGGCTCCGATGCTGGTACTACCACTAACTTGCAAAAGTATCCAACCACTCCAGGCCTCAGTTCTTCATCTGTATAGTGGAGTTTGGATCTGAGTTCTGAGGTTCTGTTCAACTTTGACAACAGAATCTATCATTGAACAACCTCTGAAGTGGTTGTCATATTGTGCCCCCAAGGAATGCAGTGACATCACGAAGGGATCCCAAAAGCTTAGTTTTATGTAGAATGGCCCCTGGGTGACAAGAGTAGGATCTGCCATCTAGAAATGCTCACAGGCCCTATATGTCTAGACCAGTACCTGCCCCACTGGTTCACTCCAGAGCTATCTATTGAACACCTGCCACAGGTCCGCTGCTGGGCTAGGTGCCACATCCTTGCACGCGGGGTTTTTTTTTTTTTTTGAGTGCCTGAGGATCTCTTATAAGACCCTGGAAGGCTGGGGGGCAGGGCTATGAAGAAGGCAGCTTTGGCTGCCTGCCCTGGTGGAATAACCTTTCTCTTGACCTAAAGTGTCCAAACTTCTCATCACTAAACAGTTGTGGCTTCTTGGTAGGTGGGTGAGAAATATGTGCTATTCACAGCCAAGGGGAGTGGAGGGAACTATCATTTACTTTTTCGGGCCACAGGCCAAGCTCTGGATACAACACTTTCATGTTCTCTCATGTAACTCTTAGTATTATCCCTATTTTAAAGATGAGGACCTGAGGCCCAGAAGGACAAAGCTTATTCCAGAGCCCATGTTTACACACTACTGGGCCTATGGGGGCCACAACTTGCCTTCTCTCCTGCAGTCCTCTAGTGAGACTGGTTCTCTCTCCTAGATCCCATCCTGAACGAGTCCGTCCTCACAGGGCTGAGACCAGCCCAGGATGTGGCTGGAACTTGGCTCCAACTTTTTCCTTCTCCTGCAACTCAAAAGAAAACCCTTGGCCTTTAGCTCTGCAAGCATTCTGGCCTGAGAGTGTAATCTAAACAAAGTGGTCCCAACACCTTAGAGTCTTAATAACACAGCTGGTTTATCATGATCTCCCAGAAACACAATTAGGTTGAGTCAGTATTCATGTTTTGTCCTGGAAAATAATTTTCCTTTGTGGTTGCGAAGTTGCTACCATCAGGCTTTGTCTGGACTCTGCTCTTTGACCTGGGTTTCCATGGTTTCCTTTGCGCCTGGGTGGGTACATTAGCTGGTGGGTGGTGAGGGGTTGGAGGGAGAAGGGCAGCAGTGAGAGATGTCCGAGACTTCCACGCCCTTCCCTACTCTAGCCTGGAGTGTATCTCAAAAGAGGCCACACAGGTTCTAAAAGCACTCAGACCTGGAACCCACGGCTGATTCAGTCACTCTCTATTAGGCTGATTCACATTATGGAATTTTGGGTTTATTTTCCCCCTCCTTTAGTATTATAGATGCGGACACCAAAGCACAAAGAATTGAGGTGACCTGCCCAACGTCAGCGAGCAAAAGAGCAGGTACTAGATCCTAAGTGTCCAGATTGCCCACGTGGGCCCTTTGCACTGTCTCCAGCATGCCCAGATTTACCCTGGGTCCCAAGTGGAACAACAGGTGACCCCTGCCAGGCTCATGCACCAAGCCCAGAATCATTATAGGCAAGAGGGAGTGCCAGGTTTTGGAACAAATAAAGTGCCCCGTTTACACACTAGGCCACAAACACATGCAGCTCATTAGCACCTGTCAGGGAGAACACAGGGATCCAGAAGGGGCTAAATGGGGTTTTTGAAGCTGAACCCATAATGGCCATGAAATGATTGTGAGGAGGTCTCTTCCTCCCCCTCTAGGAGCCAGAGTTCTGCAACGATGCCTGAGAGTCCCCCACACCCCAGGGTAACGTGGTTGTGGAAGTTGTGTGCCAAGGCTGAGTTGACTGTGACCTAGAGAAACCACAGGGCTTGGAGTTGAACCCGGCAGGCTTCCCGGAGGAGGCGGCGGAGCCGACTGGGAAGAACAAAGGGAGGGGGTGGATTTTCTTGCTGGTGGGAAGAAATTGAGTGGAGATTCAGTGAAAGGCTGGAAAAATCTTCCCCCTCTATTCCCCTATTTCGGGCCTCCCGCTCTCCGGTCCCTGTCCTTCCCCGCCGGGTCTGGGGGCGCTCCTTCCCGAGACAGCGTCCGGCGCCAGAGCGGGTGAGCGCGCCCCGCGGGGGGCTCGGGCAGCCCGTACAAGGAGTTTGGCGGCGCTCGGAGCGGCCCCGCCCGTCGGACTCCACCGGCCCCTCCTCCCTGTCGGCTCGGCCCGGCCCGGGAACGCAGCCCGCTCGGCGCGGGGCCTGGGGCGCTGACACCGCCGGGGCTGGGCTCGCGACTGTCAGGGGAGCCCGCGCCTCGCTCTCGAGGGCCCCGACGGGCGGGCACGCTCCTCGGGGCCCTTTGGCCGCGGACCCTCGTCCCCCTTAGCAGCGTCGCCATGTCCTCGGTGTTCGGGAAACCCCGCGCAGGCAGCGGGCCGCAGAGCGCGCCCCTCGAGGTCAACCTAGCCATCCTGGGGCGCCGCGGGGTGGGCAAGTCCGGTGAGTGGGGTGGGCAAGTCCATCAGTGGGGTGGGGGCGGAAAGGAGGGGGCCCGGCGGGGACCCGGAGAGGGAGCGGGCAGAGGATGCTGTGGCCTTGCGTGCTGGCAGGCTCCTCCACTGGCTTTGGGGGCTTCCTTCCCCCAGGCGGGTTGGGTGAGACTGTGGTTTCCTTCGTTGCCTCAGTTTCTCCGTGGCTTGGTCCTCTCTCTGCTCTGTTCTCAGCTCCCCCATCTCTCATTGGCCTCCTGTTCCTTGGCTGTCTTTCCCTCTGTCTCCCCACTGTGTCTCTGTCCTCAGTGTCTGTGACCCCAGCTATAGGT